CAAATATATAAGGGAGGGAAAATAAGTAAAATTAAAGTGCTATCGGGCCAGGGATTTAGCTCAGTGGCACTGTGCTTGCCTCAAAAGTGCAAGGTCCTGAGTTGGATCCCTGTCTCCCCCCGCCCCCAGTGCTATACTAATCATTTACTAAGGCATAGAGGATCTCACACTTTGATCAGACTGTCAGCACAGAGTAGGCTCAATCTGGGTTCCTAATATAAAATTCAGATACACAAGGGTGATATCAACCATGCAATTATTTAGTGGTAGCTACTTAATCAACTATCTTTAGCAATAGAAGGTTAAAAACATTTTTATTTTATATCATTTTTCTTAGTTTTCTAAGAAAACTGATTCAGCATTTTTAGCATAGTTTTTAGCTTCTGTGGATTTGTTTTGTCATATGTAAAATTAGGATGTAAAGGCTGGACATGGTGGCACATGCCTGTAATCCCAGCCCTTGGGAGGCCAAGGCAGGAGGATTGTTGAGAGTTCAAGGCCGTCTTACAATACATAGTGAGTACAAACCCGGCTCAAAGTACAAAGCCCGACCTTGTCTCTAAAAAAAAAAAAAAAAAAAAATTAGGATGTAGGAATGTTGGAAGTTTTAGGACTCTTCCAGCCTCAAAGGACTCCAGTTGAGCTATGACATAAGAGCACACACACACACATCATACAAAGAAATACATTTGTGTGTAATATCAATATCTGATGAAAACTATAAGATTACATTTTATACATTAAAAAAGTTTAAATTTGGCAGTTTCATATTATTAAACTTAATATATATCCCCCAAAGAGGGCAAAGTACAAGCATACTACTCCTCACCTAGCAGTTCTATTCTTCTGTCCAGATATACAAGGCACTTATTGGAGGAAAAAAAGAGGACTTAAATATATGGCAACCTCTTGCCCTTTTCTATGATTCTTTCTACATATACATTAATAGAGCTATGGTTTTAAAGTTTCAAATTCCAACAACTTATGCACATAAAAATCCTTTCTAAATATATAAATCTAAGAAAATAATAATAAATATATTTATATGCTTTCTGTGACTAGAAATGTTTCCTTCAAAATCCTATCATCAAGCTAAACATTTAGCTCCTAAGGAGATACATAAGAAATTTTGGGCACCTAAATATGAAAGGCATACACTGAGTGACTTGTCATTCCCTGCTCACCTGGTATGTTGTAAGTTTGAATGTACCCAGACTGGCCCCCATCCACATTCACCAACTGTCCAGTGACAAAGGAAGCTGCAGGCGACAGCAGGAAGCAAACCACAGAGGAGACCTGGAGGCAGGAGCACACACACACATATGAAAGCAAAGGGTCCTCTCCATTTCTAGGAGCTCCGTGTTCCCAAGTAAACACATCTCATATCCTACAGCTGTGATGTGAATCCTAATTTGTGCACCATAATCTGACAGCACATGGACAACTTTTCTATTTGAACCTGATTGAAATTTGGCGGTGATCAGGGTAAACATGGCAAGATGTGAAGAGGCTTTATACAGTGCCAATGCAAAAGGCCAAAAGTGAACAGGGTGCTAAATCTCTGCTGTTTCCTACTTCAAACAGTTCACTTCTTTCCATACCTTCCATCATCCAATGCAATCCCATTTCCATCACTGCTATGTGCCTTTTATATTTTTGTCCATGAAATAGCAGGTCTGTGTAGCAATAATTGGCATGCTGATTTAGCCAGTCTAAGGTCCAGCTGGGCCCAGCAACATGGATGGCAGTTTTCTACAAGGACGACTTTGGAATCCCACTGTATCCTCTAAAAACTTATTTATTGATGAATTCAGCAACATTTACCGTCAAAACTATACAGAAACAGAGAATTTCTTTTACTGACCCTAAAGGAACAGAAGCAGTTTTTTTGGATGGTGATGATTCTAAGTACCTGATCCTTCTGACTCTCTCTGGGACTGTCACTTAACAGAAGGCAACCCCCTGATAAACAGGCCAGCCAATGGCCTGGTGTGAGATTTTCCCCCACCTACACACAGACCCAGGATACAATGTGGTAGGGGTCAAACTCTCTTTGTTCTGCACTTCACTGTAGCTACTATTATCTGTCCTTCCCTTCCTTTTCAGACTTGGAAGAAATCACCTACATTAGCACTTGTCAAAATGTAGCTGGCCAAAGTCTGTGTGTTCCTAAGAGCTTTTCAAGGTCAAGACTATTTTCATGATAATGCTAAAGGTTAATTTGTCTTTTTCACTGTGGATATTTGTACTGATGGTGCCAAAGCAATGACTGGAAAAACTGCCTAATCCTTGGCATGAATCATGACAGATATACAAAACTGTGGTAGCTTTCATACAGCTGGGGTGGGGGTGGGAGTAGCAATTTCCCTTTGTCATGTCCTTGATGAAGTAGCAAAAAGCATTTATTGTAAGAAGTCTCAACCATGAAGGGCACATCTTTTTACTATTCTGTTTGATAAAATGGGAAGCACATTGTCTTAATTACTTTCTCATTGCTGAGACAATACCCAACACCTGCAACTGTAAGGAGGAAAGGTTTATTTTGGTTCACAGTTTGTAGAGATTTCTACTGGCTCCAAGGCAGGGTGGCATGGCAGAGGGCCATGGCAGAGGAGAAAATGGCTTAAGGCATGGGACTGGGAGCAGAGAGATCAAGGGAGGAGGGAAGGAGATATATGCTTCCAGTCCATGCCCCCAGTGACCTACTTCCTCTGACCAGGTTTTAACTCCCAACACCACATTTAGATATAAATTCATCACTGGACTAATACACTGATAAGTATCACACCCTCACGATCCAGTCATGTTCCCAAAGCCCTACCTGTGAGCGCATGAGGCTTTGGGTAGGGGGGGAACATCTAGATATAAACCATAACATAAAGCTCTTCCATTGTGCAGAGTATAGTGGTTGTCTCAGGAAAATGAATGTGCCATTAAACTGTGGACTGAACTTGCTACCTTTTCATGAAATAATATTTTTTTACTTGACAGAATGGCACTGTGTCTGTTCACATTTGGGTATTAGGTAGATGTTTTTTTCAAAAACAAACAACGTGAGATTATCACTTCAAAGAAAAATAAGTGGCAGTATTTGTTGTCAATGAGAAGATGTGAACTTTGTAGTGAAAATCAGGATTTTGAAAAACTTGCACCTGCAACCATGAGCTTGCCAGTTTCCTGATACATAAACTTTTTTGAAGAGGTGAGTGGAGGTATTAACAAATGTGATCTTTCCACAGTGGACAGTTAATTGTGCCAACATTTAGAAGATCCATATAACTCAGAATCAGTATTTTTCAATGTACCAACCCTGATATTCCAAAATCATACACGGGTGAAAGATCTAACATTTGAAAAAGAGAATAATACAATGGGACAAAAAGTTCACTGACATGGTTTCAGATTCCACCTTGCAACTAATCCTTATGAAACTACTACTTCTTGAATTTCAAAAAAGAATAGCATGATTATCTGAAAAGGCTATTAAAATGCTCCTTCCCTTTCCAACTGTAGAGCTTCAGAAAGTCAAATTATATGCTTTAATCGGGCCCAGGATTTAGCTCAGTGGTTCTGCCGCCTGCCCTGCAAGCTCAAGGACCCAAGTTTGATCCCCGGTACCAACAAAACTTGCCAAATTATATGCTTTAATCAAAATAACAGATTGCAAGAAATTGAATGCAGAAGCAAAAGTGAGAATCCACCCATTTAGTATAAAGCTGTACATTGAAAATATTTGGAAAGGTGTCAAATATTAAAAATATGCCTTGGAAGGGTAGCTATTTTTATTTAAAATGTTATTAATGTTAATGTGTAATGTCTGTAGTCTTATTTATAAATGAATTAATAAAGATTTCTTACATCTCTTTTAATTTCTAACATGGCAACTACAGATCATATAATTCATATAAATAAAAAGTATTCTATGAGAATAAAAATTAACAATATTATATCTTTGGTTAAAATCACTTAAAATCTACATTTAGTTTTCAGAATAAAAATTTAAACATCTCCTTTAATGGGTTAAGTATATGATTGAACAATAGCTTATATTATGTTTTGGGTTTTTTTTCTGAGCAGAGAACAAGGTTTATTGAGCAGACACAGAAGGGTACATTTTTCCACACATGGGGAAGGGTATAGCATCTATAAAAGGCCTTTTACCCTTTAAGAAAACCTACAGTGAAGTTGCTTTGGGAGAGGAACCACCACAGAACATGCTTAAAATGAGCTCCTGTCACCCCACAGTGAATATAAGTACGTATAGAGATGGCAGAGAATGGCACAAATGACCAGAGTCGGGACTGTGGTGTAGGTGCCAGGTGAGGACAGCAGTGTTGTAGGAGACCAAGCTGGGAAGGGAAACATCTCAGACATCAAAATCTGCCCCAAGACAGCAGGTTGAAATGGTTGAGGGTGAAATTATAAGAAACATCTCTTCCTTTGTTCGGACAACACCAAAAAGAGGAGACCAGAGAGAGGAGAGGGGTGAAAGCACTTCAGTCTTACCAAAGGGGGAGACTGTTGAAAAGTGAAGCAAACAGCAGGGTGGCTATTCTGCCTCACTGATTCATGGGCTGTGATGCAGAAATCATTTTCAGTCACTTTCAACTTCTCCCAGAAAGCTCTCTCCCAGAATGCTTCTCCCAGAAGCATCCATGTAATTTATGTGAAAGTATAGGGTTTTGCAGTATGGCTAATGAGTAACAAGTAGCATGAAAAGGAGAACTGGAAATTATTTTGGCACCTGAAAAAGTAAAAAGGGCCAAGCAGTAAAGAGAAAACAAATGCTGCTGGGCACATTTTCAGTGAGGCAAAAAGAAGTATCCATTCTCTTCCACCAAGACTCTGCCCACTGCCTAAGGTGAACACAGATCAAAATACAGAATAACTACCTCTTATTCCTCTTGCCATCATCTCATTCAGATGGATTATGTGTTGTTACCAAGACTAAGCCCTGGGAAGCTCTTCCCAAGTGTCTGGCTCTGGTCAGCCCCATACAGATCAAAAATAGGTCTTTGGATAAAAATGGAGGAAAAAGACAAAGGGGTGTAAAATCTGAGATGAATGGACCCTTCCCAACACACACACATTCCCAGGTGCTGCCCCTTCTTCCCTGCCTCTCCCCAAGACACACATGGAAGGAGCAATTGCAAAGGTCCCAACTATGGCAACCATACTAGAGGTCTAGTGGCCAGGCAGCAAGAAGCACTAGACCAAAGCTCAGAGGACACTGAACACCTCATGGAGCAGAAAACATGAGGTGGGAACTAGTGACTGCAGATTTAATATCCTAGCAGAACTCCTTGGGTCAATGCTACAAGGGAGACCCACTAGAATCTGATGTGGGTCCCATCCAGGCAACCTTGCTAAGGCCAAAATAACAGTCCCTCATGCCAGTAAAAGAGTAACAGAAATGACAGATCCCTAGAGGGTAGATTCCTTCAGCTAGGGTTCACTGCCTCAGAATGACAGGTCACTAAAGTACCCCTGGGAGGGATCCTTTTTTCTCCAGTACCGAGGATTGAACTCAGGACTTGCACTTGCCAGGCAGGTGGGGCGCCACTGAGTTGCATCCCTTGCCCAACTTGGGACCTTGTGCTTGCAAAGCAGGCAGAGGAACCACTGAGCTAAATCCCCAGCCCCAGGAGGGATCCACTTTTAAGCAGCCTGGATCCATGTTTTTTTGGGAATTGGACCTTTTAGCCTCTTTGGCTATCCACTCATCAATCAGGTCTTGTCTCTTTAAAACTAGGTGTTTTCCTTTCCAGAGAAGCACTTCTTTCCAGTAACTGTGATAGGTTATAAGCCCAGATCCAAGAGTTCTGAGGAGCCAAGTTTTTCTTCCACTTTGGAGAGTAAATAGCTGAAGTCAACGAGCATCTTGCCATATAGCCCTGTTTCACGTACTGAGGCATGGTAAGGCACTCAATATATTATAATTGCAGAATGAATTCTTTTCTTTGGAAAAATACTTATCAAGCGACAGCCAGTGTTGTCTGCTTCTACCATAACATAGAACAGGAGAGGTTCTACAGTGTAATATAATGTCTTGTGGTCCAGAAAAGGCTTGGCCAACAGGCACAGGTTTTCAGAGTTGATCTTGTTTTTCTTGCCATCTACTTCAAACTCTGTGATTGAGCCTTGTGATATTCTTCATCACCAGGTGGAAGATTCCACACATGCTTGGTCATGTGCCAATGGAGTATTATTTGGCTCTTCATATACTGTATTTTAAAGAATTCACACATGTAAAGATGTCCTAGCCATGCATACTCTTCAAGATAGGGAAGGGCCAG